TGATCAAATCTGACGTTGTTTCGACCAGCGTTGAAGGTAAGTGCGTGAAATACGCGAGTTGAAACGAAATTGCAATGGGGAGTGGATCGTAATTTTGACCACTTTCCACAATTGACAGTTTTCAGCGAGGGCGATTTTGCTGCCTTCTGTTAAGGCAGATGCGCCCTCGCCGGCGTTCAGACTATTTCCGCGCCATTCAAGATTTCTTCCAACGGAAGTGACTCGAATCTGTTCCAGAATATTGCTTGTGACGTAGATGACAGTAATAAAAAATGAGGATTATGTTTCGCGGTGATTGATCACTTAAAAGTGTCATTATCCTATATATGTATGTGTATGTATATTTCATTCTTATAAATGCAAGACGTTTAAAAATTATCCTACCCGAAAATTGAGAAAGTACACTATTTCTCATCAATGCCGACGACAAAGGCTTTAAGCAATTAGCGATGACGGACTATAAGAGAATTGAATGCCATTCAAATGAGAGATTGAATGCCATTCAAATTTTGACTTGAATATTGAATATTAATTTGGTAGAAATTTCTTTAGTTTGCATAGAAACCTACTCAGTTATCCTTTAATATTAATGCATTAGTTATAAAAATACTATATAAAAACTGAACAAAGACTTGATAGAGTGTTATTCAGTAGAGGAAACAGTTTATGTGCAATACGTGAGCAAATTCTTCCCGAGACATCAATATTGATTCAGTGTAATGCGCATGTATTATAATGTTTATTGTATTATAATATGTGTCTATTGTAAATAAATTTAAATTTACATATTTATTTATATTGTTAAAGAGAAATTAAAAATTGCAGAAATAGTGAGTAAATGTGTGAACCAGCATAGAGCAAGAAAAAAAATTGAAGAAAATAAGACATTTGGCGATATTAAGCCTTATAAGAGAGATAACAACCAAGGTTAAAAATGAAATCTAGCAAAAAATAAATGAGATATATATTAGTAATAATAATTTCATTGTGAAGAGAGAAAATACATCAGATTATTATGATTATAATTATATAAATAAAAATTATTATGATAGCTCAGATTCAGAATCTGATGAAATAATACAGCTACGATTAAAAGAACATATGAATATATAAAGGATATATCATGAAAGATGTCGCGTAAAACATGAAAATATATTTAACTTAAAATTAAAAAAAAAAAAAATAATATTACACTAAAGATTTCCTGACTCTTTAGCATTAAAATATTTTAATTAAACAACATACACAAAAAATGAAATACTTCTAGGACAAATTTGCTCATTTTATGAGCAGTAGACTTGATTACTAATTAGTTGAATAGTTTTTTGTTCATTTACTGTTCTGTTTACGTTCAGTACATGATCTCAGATTTTGCGTAGCTTTTGTGCGCAGTAAGAATTGTTGCGTGTAGAAAAAATGTTACATCTTGATACAAATTAGTTTTACTCTACAATTACTAGACAAAAATTAACTGCATTTTGTCTATATTGAAAGAAAAATAGCAAGTATATATTTAGCGGGTGCTAAAAAAACAGCATATTTACTTATAAATATAAAATATTTTTCAAATATAAGAAATAATATATATTTTCTTAAGAAAACTTTAGTTTTCCATCAAAGTAATATTTATGTTATTTAAATAAAATATTTTTAGATTTAAGTAAATATGCGCTGTTAGTACACAACAAATAAATGTTTATTAATTTTTAGATGTTTTTTAGTAATTCAGTAACTTTTTGAAGACTACATGAAATTTTTAACAGGGGGACCTCTTTGTTGTCAATAAGTTTATCATCTATTAAAATCAACAAGAGACCTTCTGCGTAAGCGATTTAACGCACCTGGAATTATAATTATTATAATTTCATATATATAATTTTATATATATATATATATATATATATATATATATATATATATATATATGTATAGATGTATATGGATCCATGTCACAGAGGAACAGCGAGGAAGAGGATACTGAACGCCAGAACGCGGGCATAGATAATAATGCACGGATATATAATAATGTATTATATGTCTGTTACTCTGCTATAATATCTACTCGTAGGATTGGCATTAGTACTGACACTCGGATACATATCTAATTAAAGAAACGCATGTTAATTAATGCGATGGCAGTGTCTGATTAAATGATAATTATACACAAGTATTACACAAAAATTATTGTCGATACAAAGCCAGATTTTGCAATTTGGCTCTTAAAATTTTTTAATAAATTTAATAATAAGTATATGCTATATATATATAACCATGGAACAAGTGTGTATATATTATATATATATATATATATATATATATATATATATATATACACTTGTTCCATGGTTTCTTATAAGACACCCAAGCTTTATTAAATTTACTACAAGTTTTTTAGTAAAAATATAATTTTTTAGTAAATTACGAAATCCAACTTTGTACTAACAATTATTTTTACATAAAGAATAAAATCATGTACAGTCTTCCAGCAAATATCAAGATATTTCTATCCAATCAAAAATATCTAATATGTTATCAGCGCGTGATCAGTTCATCATCAATTGAATAGAAATAACTAAAGTAACGATCAAAGTGACGATTACCGTATTCTTTATCGTTACAAACAGAAAAAAAATAACGATCGTTATCGAAAAAAAATAATGGTAACAACGTTATTTTTTTCGATAAAAGATAAAACGATAAAAGTAACGCATTACTTCCCAAGATAAGAACTAACGAAATGTTCTAATCACCCAAAGGGAGTGATAACTAATGCATCGATATGTGTATTCCGTGATATATGTGTCGCTCGTCGCACACGACACACACAAATGAGTTCGATCGTCTTGAAAGTTCCAAATATTTTGAGAGTGTTGATTGTGATCATCTCTCGAACTTTCAACAGCATCGCGACAATGGCGCGATTGATGGAAGATGATAGGCAGATTTCTGTATCCATTACTTCGATATGTATTCACGCGTTGTATACTATTTCGCAGTCGAGCAGTGACAAACATCCGACGAACAACAAATACGTATCGTGACATGAATCGTGTATCGTGTATAATGTGTATATCGATACGTTACGATCATTAGTTGATAATAATATTTCGTCGAATCTTGACATATTTAATTGGACTTACGTTGACATATATAAAGATAATTGATCCATGTTTGTCATGATATTATCTTATTTATGGATATCAGTACTACTATAGAATAGAATAGTAAAGTAGTATAGAAAGGGAGAAAGAGAGACAGAGCGAGACAGAGCGAGCGAAAGAGAGAGAGAATGAAAGAAAGAGAGAGAGAGGGAGAGAGAGAGCTAAGTGATAAGATGCTAGATGAAAAAATTAGGACGCAGGAGGCGAACAGCAATACATCATATATTTTCAAGATGTGTCAAAAATCATTTATTATACCTTATCTTCCCGACCAGAACCAACATTCGACAGCCTTACCGAGAATAAGGAGATATCCTGAGTCAAAATTTAAGCTAGTATTCATCTGTCATGCTAGTGTCATGATTTGACTAACAATTAAAGTTTCATGAATCGTTAGTTATCTGTTAATCTGTACATATTTCATACAATAAAAAAAATTAATCCGTTAATTCATTAATGCCTGAGCCTAAACTATAATCTGCAGGCTCCTCGTAACTATGTAAAATAGGATATCGCGTCAAAACATATTCAAATGTAGAAAAAAATTAATTTTTCTCATTTATTTAATCAATAACTGTTTAAACAAATTATTAACAATTAAAATTTTTTTAAACTAACAGCGGGGATCGATTCTCCGGAAAAAATTACTAAAGAAATACTTATTAATTTTGTTGTAAAATTCTTATAGGCAATTACTTGGACAGTTTTTCGGGCTAGAAGTATTCAAAGTGCGGTTTTAAATACTCTCTTTCTTCAAATTTTTTTTCTACTTTCATATTGATTTTTTTGTTAATAATTTTTTAATAGACAACGAATGACAGCTAAAACATGTTGATGGTTACTCAAGACACGATGATCCTTACATTTACAATATAAAGACACAATCATTGAAAGTACCTCCTAAACAGGAGTTTTATCGTGACTTTTTTAATTTTTAACTTAAACAAGTCATGATAGTCACTCCTGATTGACTAAAAACACATCAATCAAAAGCCGAAACACAAAACTATTTCGGACTTTGACTAAAACGCTTGATTGTTCCGCATATTGACTAGTCAACCCTAAGAACGTCCGCGCTAATAGCTTACTACACATATACATATACGGGTACATAACCGCGCACACACGGATAACACGTGCGCGCGCGTGCGCAGCATTTACATTTATGAATGACGCGCGTATGTACTCATTACACATAAAAGAAGGCATCAGATTATCTGAAAGAGATAAAACAGCAGATGCTTGGATTCTATGATCTCAGTGCGCCCTATTTTTTTACTGTCTGATTTTATATAATTGTTTGTTGACAATAGAGACATTTGTTCTGAATCATAAAAAAGATATTTCAGAACGGAGCAATTTGGGGTCACTTTTCCATAAAAAACGTGCGGAGTCCTTTCAACTCTTTAAGCATTTACAAGACACAGTTAGAGCTCCGAGCTTATGTTATAGAACATGCTTTTCTTTTCGAATCCTGATCGAATCACGATTGACGAGTGTAGTAGGTTTAACGAAAACCCGTTCAAAGAGAGTCTCGTAGTGCGCGGTGAAGTGTTGACGTAACGTGACTCGATTCTTCGTCCTCGCGAGGGGACGTTTCCGTCGAGCGACCTGAAGAAATCGGACGGGTGGTTCCACGTAATTTCTATTTGCCCTCGTAATTTCTGCCAAGAAAACGAAGCCGATGAGAAGAATGGCGGCGAGTAGTAATGAGATTTTATTGACACGTCGTATGTGTGCTTAACCGCGACGTTTGTCCACGCGACATCGTCTTCGCGCGAGGTAGACGCACGAGGTAATGGCAAAAGTAACCGACTGATCGTCTCGTGGATGTCGTAGAGCATCAGCGGAGGGATAAGATTCGAGAATGGGGGGCGGAGAATGGAGCGGCTGGTTGCAACGATGCCGGGAATCCCGCAGGCTCGTTCTCATCATCGTTGCTATCGCGCTGCTGTTGGATAATATGTTGCTGACGACTGTGGGTAAGTGGCCTTATCAAATTACAAATCAAACAGTTAAAACTTGACATTAACCGTCTGTTGCCTATTCGTACTTTAACAATTAATGAAGCTGGTAACTTTTATTAAAGAAACCGTAGAAGTAGAAGTTCTTTAAATGTATAACTACACTAAATTTAATATATTTTTTTGGACTATATAAGAGCTAGTCACAGGACTTTATTTAAGTAAATAATTTTTTTTTTTAAATGATAATAATGTCCTGCAAGATGTATCGCACACGCCAAGATCTTCTCTGTCCTTACATATGTTAGGCAATTCTAGCCATCGCTTAAACCATCCTGTATCCCATTTTCTATAAATTAGAGAGAGAGAGAGAGAGAGAGAGAGAGATTAATAGTCCCTTATGCTCTTCCATTATTGCATATTGAAATTTCCGTTACGTATTGTTAAGGCAATTAACTTTTGTATTATGTACATATTATAGGTCTACCTTATATTTGGTCAAACACTAGAACTTCCTTAATTTTACCGCTGCGAATACGGCTTGATGGAAAGCGTATTAATTGTAACAATTTAATATAGTTTTCTTCTTCCAATTGTAAATACAGTTGGTTATATTTTTTTTGCAAGTTCCGCTAAGCTGACCTCGTGAATTTGTCGATGAAATATCCTAGATAATAGTTCTTTTATAATAATTGCATAACTTGTAAATAAATGATATATTCATCACACGTCATTTATTTATATTTTTGTTACGTTGCATTGAATTGAAGTTGATATCGTGTTTTCTGGCGACTCCTTTTCAGCCGAGCCGCGGAGTTACCTCTTTAGACTTATAACTTTAAGTTCCAGTAGGTCAAGTAGGGAACTATTAACTTCATCACTTTCTCTCAACCGTGTGGCTGTAAGTAGGGATGTGCGATTTATGAAATTGTGTGTCGCGATGCGATCTTTCTTAACAATCGCAATGAATGCAATATATCGCACCACAATTTTGTATCGCAAATATGATTTTGAATCGCGCGCGATTTTTAATCACAAGAGCGTGACCTATCGCGTGAAGAGTAATGTTTAAACAAATGTTATAGATAAATAAATCTCATCTCTTTCTTTGTATTGCATAAAAATATTCTTTGAAATGTTCACTATAAGAAAATACAAGTTTTACTGTAAAAGAATATTTAAAAATGAAAGCATTTAATGAAGTTAAATGATGTTTTCTTAAAAACATCACTTAACCTCATTATGCTTTCTATACGGGACAAGATTGGAAACATTTTATAAAACTTGTTTATTTCCGAATAATTAATTTTCAAATGTTTTTAAAAGTAACTTATTAAGACATACAATATATAAAGGTGTGTTATTGCATGTTTAATTAACTATCATTATTTATTGATAACATTTTTTTCATAAAATAAGACTACCTTTTTATTATATTTTTTTATTAAAATATAAATGACAATCAATATTAAATGTAAGCAATCTTTGGTAATCTTCTGAAATATATACATATAAAAAAAATATGTATAGAAATAATATAAAAAAAATCATGCAACGTAACATTTTAAAATATCATAACATGTTATAACGACATAATCCCATTATGCCTCTAAATAAGTTTTGATTTAGATAATACAAAATATCATAAATTGTCGCGCAATATTTGCACAGAAATTTGCGCAATATTTGCATTAAACTAAAATGATGAATAATTTTGAATCGCAAGTGTGATTTTGAATCGTAGACACGATGTTGCGATAAAGGTCCAATCGCATTGCGATCCAAGCAAAGAAAATCGCAGTGCTTGCGATATATCGTGAAATCGCACATCCCTAGTTGTAAAATCGACGGTTCCCAGGGATTAAATCATCATCATAACGAGAGATATTTGGATTATCGTTGTGAACAAATTAAATTATTCACATCTCGAAGATGCCGTGCAAACGTACGAGCGAAAATGCCCAGAGATCGGCAAAATACAGAGAATTACGGGATTCCGCGGGAGCTTTTATCGTCACGGATATTTCACGCTTAATCCATATTATCGCGCGGTTAACTCAGCTTTTAACACCCTCGGCATTCCGTCGGCATCCCATCGACGGCTGCCACCTCTCAGCGACCGCGCGAGATCTTATGTTTAATTCAGAAAACGTTCGTTTATCGCGCACCGGTCCCCGGAATCTCGGCGGAACGTATGGCCTTTCGTGTATCGTGCCGCCAATCCGGATAAGTGGTCATGCATTTATTCAGCACCGTGTAGACCAGTGATCGTCGCGGGTACAAACTCGCGGAACGTCGTCACGCTTATCGAACAAATCGCGAGATCCACTTTCAATCGTTGCCTGCATCGGTCTAAATGAATAAAATCGCGCGAAATGCCCCTCCCATAAATCGTGAAGCGCGCAATCGTATTAAATGCGCGCGCGCGAGTAACAAAAAGTTTATAAATTCTTCTGCACTCCTTCAAATTCAGCCATCTGTAGCACAACGATCGCCCAGGTTTCTTAAAATTTTATCAAGTTCAAAGGGCTTTAGAAAAAATTTGTAGATATATCATCTCATAAATAATTTATTGTTATTTAAAAAATTACGAAAATACGAGTCTTAGTAACAATAATTCTCAATGCATGGTCATTTGAGAAAAAGAATCGCAGCGGACAAAAAAGAATGGTTGGAGGTGCTGGGATTTGAACCCAGGACTTTCAGCATGCGAAGCAGACACTCTACCACTGAGTTACACCCCCGATTGATAAAATGTGTTTCAAATTTCCTTTAGTTAGATTATATCACATCCTACCCTTCAATTTATTAATAACCTATTGTTCACTTGTGAATATGATATCGTGCAAAATAAGGCGTGTCACTGTTCATCGTTTCTGCGAAGCTTGAACCACTGCGACTATATCGAAAATTTAGTTCCAGGAAAGATATTTTACAATTTTTTAATGAATTATATCGCTTCCTCATTTTTACATGTATTGATTGAACTTTCACAGTTCCAATAATACCGGAATTCCTCTACGATATCAAACATCCTAACGCAACGCTAAGTGAACACCTGGAAGGAAGCGCATCTCGTCGAACTACAGTCGCCACTGCCGTCTCGCCGACAACTACAACGACAGAAACGACAATGTCAACAACACCAAAATGTCCTTGCACCCCGAATATATCGGTTCCTACTGGATTTCGACCCCCCACCACCCCCGCTATGGACGTGGGTAAGGCATTATTGATCATCATATTAATGCACTTTTATTATACACGGAGAGAATTTTATAGTAAAAATTGCTAGAAGATTTTGTAAAAGCGAGAAATAAATCGACATTCTACAATAATTTATTATCCTTTCATTTCAAAGTATTTTAAGAACAGAAATTGCTATTAAAAAATTTGCTATGTCTCTAATGAAATTTATTATGCTTCTTAGCTAGATAGACAATACTGACAGTATCCCTGTACTACTAGGAACAAAGAGTAAAATTGAAAAGAATTTATATAAAAAAAACTATATAATATTCTCTCCATATAATTATATATTTGCACGAAGTGTGTTTGCGAAGATATGTGTTCTTTTAAAAATAAATATCAATTTATATATGGACTACCGATGAATAATTCGTATGTCTAAGATAAATACACGATTTTAATATAATTTTAATATAGGTTTTTGAACATCTCGGAACGAAATGAACACCTCGTACGAATATTCTCTTCTTTTTAATTTCAGAAATTTCAGGAATTACAGTAATTTCAGAAATTAATACGGCTAATCTCACGTTGTCGGAAATAAAGGAAATAAAGGAAAAGGAGCAAAGACACCGGGAATTATTGGAGGAAACCGTGGCAGTAGGAATGATGTTCGCTTCTAAGGCCTTTGTCCAATTGTTAGCTAATCCTATAGTTGGGCCATTGACCCACAAGTAAGCCTTAAATATATATGATAATATATTTGTCCTTGAATATATCAGATCTGTATAAAAATTCATTTAAATTCAAATCAAATTAAGAACAAAATGATTCATAGCAACCGAAGTGATTCTTGAGGATAAAAATTAATTATAATAGTTATTTAACCATTATATATGACCTTAACAGAATTATTCTATATAGAAAAAATGTTTCTCAATCTTTTTCCTTCAAAAATTCAATTTAGCAATTTTATTCAGAACAAGACTTAATAAAGAACAAAATTTAATAATATATTTGTTATAATTTAATAAAATATTTAATAAAGAAAACAAGATTTAATGTGAAAACACATAACTATCTAATAACTATCTAATATTAACATGTTCTTAATTTAAGTTTTATTAGTATAATTGGCTATGTTTCTATAAAATCATATAAATAATTTGATAAAAACATTATTTGATTGCTTTCGCCGTATATAAACATATAATGTATATAACGCAAGATCTGTGTGTTTGCTTGCAGGATTGGTTATAGCATACCTATGTTTACTGGATTCATCATCATGTTTTTATCTACGCTGATTTTCGCTTTCGGACGAAGCTACGGTATACTTTTCTTAGCGCGAGCTCTCCAAGGTATCGGTTCGTCGTGTTCTAGTGTTTCCGGTAATTATATCAGCAACTTAAGTATTGTGTATTATCTAATCAATCATTCCCAAATATCTCTTGAGAAATTTGTGCAAAAATACTGTTTTGCAGTACACTTAAAGATAAAAATACTGTTTTTCAATATATTAAAAACAAATAAATATTCAATATACTAAAAGCAAATAAATGTATTTATTTTCTCTTTGGACTATACGCTTTCTCCAATTAAAATCTTTAGCTTGAATTGTCCAAAGTTTATGAATTTTATTATAAATTCTGGAACAGATTAGAATTATTTCGCGAACTACGACACAAGCATCGGTGGTTCAGTGGTAGAATGCTCGCCTGCCACGCGGGCGGCCCGGGTTCGATTCCCGGCCGATGCAATCTTTTGTTGCTTTCTTATTTGTTAAATATTTAAAAATTTTTTATGGGCTCTTTATAGACTACTTCGTAAGCACTTTCTTTTTATTTATATTCTGGATAAATGCCTGCAATACATAAAACCATTTTTTGTTCTGCAAATGCTTTATTGTGGAAAAAAGATTACTCTCACCTTTTATTCGTACAATGAATTTTTTATAAATAATCAAAACATAAAATAATAAAATTTCAAAAAGATTGCATCGGCCGGGAATCGAACCCGGGCCGCCCGCGTGGCAGGCGAGCATTCTACCACTGAACCACCGATGCTGTTGTCAGTTTAGCGGAAACTGGAATATAATTTGTACACGATAGTAAACATACATATATATATATATATATATATATACATTACAGTATATATATATACTAACACTTAGAATATTAGAATAAATTAATCTTGTAGAATAAAAAAGAACGTACCGCCTTCCTTTCACTTTCGAGGTCATTCTTTCCTATTCATCCATAATGACGTTAATATTACTGAAACTATGAACATTTAATTTTGTCTATAGGAATGGGCATGTTGGCAGAAAGATATCAAGATGATAAAGAACGCGGTAATGCCATGGGAATCGCGCTGGGTGGCTTGGCTCTTGGAGTTCTCATCGGCCCTCCGTTTGGTGGAGTTATGTACGAATTTGTTGGAAAGTCTGCCCCGTTTTTAGTCCTTTCTGCATTGGCTCTCGGTGATGGATGTAAGTACAAATACACTCGCGATACGAAGTACTTGCGTGCACTATAGTAACATGTATGTCGAGAATGAATGAAACGTGATATTTATTGGCGCTATGTCTTCACAATTGAATCGTTCGCATTGCTGTTTAAAGATGTATTGCCCGTATAGTCTTTGCATAAAATGATTGAAAATTAGGAATACATTTCTATATTTCGTAATATATACAGGATGTCCCAGAACTGGCAGTATAACTGGGAAGAGAGTGATTCTACATGAAAAAATAAATAGAAAACGTAGAATCAAGTTTTTTCATATGTCATATATTTGCTTTCGAGAAAATCGATTTTTTTATGGAGCCATATTAAATCAATTGTATTCTGAAGAAATTATAAATATCAGGCAATTAAAAGAAAAAATTGGTTTAGCATTTGATAAATTAAAGTATCAAAACACGGTAGAAATTTATTTTGAAGAGCAGAAATGTATATTCGACAGAATGATCAACATTTATGAATAAAATTCATGCGTAAATATTAGAACCTCCCATATTTACTTCTTTAAGATGAAGAAAACACGTATATTTAACTGAAGTTAAATTAAATTAACTCCCCTCCCTTTAATAATTTCTGGATTATTATATTACATTTTATATAGGTCATACGGTAATCATTATGTCATTGCAGAGGATGTTTTACCCTATAAAGATAATAAAACCTGAGACTTTATGATATAACATTTTAATTCTTACATGTTTGTAAGAAATGTTTTTCCACAATCTTTAATCTTAAAATTTCTTTGTATTTATAATAATGTTAAGTACAAAGAAAACAAAAAACAAATTATATATAAATAAATAAAATCATAGTTTATTCTTCAAATCAAACATTTTTTCTTTAAATATCTTTTCTTTAAATAGCAAAAACAACGATTTTTCGCAAAAACCGTTTCTTTCTTGTTTTTTTAAGCGATTTAAAAAGCCAACTTTTTTAAAACTATATATTTCTATAACATCACGATTTAAAATACTCCTCAGTAATGGGATGACGTCAAATGACGTTAATGGATCATTTGACGTCATCATGTGTATACTTAACTTCAAAGTAGAATAACTCTTGATCCAAACTTTGAATTAATGTTTAAAATTGTGGTCAATTTTAGATGTGCGATATGGATTAATCTCTAATTTCTTTCAAAATTTGTTCATTTTTTTTAAATATAGGCAATACATGCTTAACAATGACAATCTATCGTTGCGCAACGTTTGATTTTTCCTGATAACTTAATAATTTTTCGTATTCAAGTATTGCAGCTTCTGATGCTTCAACCGTCAGTCGTCTACACGGAAGCGGAACCGCCGTCGTTGAAATCTCTAATCACCGATCCATACATCGTTTTGGCCGCCGGTACGAGAAACAAAGATAAGATCTGTGATCTCGCAATATCGTGAACTTCGAGCGAGTTACGTAATCTACCCGCGTAACCGTTCAAGATTCACCATTTCGCGGAATGAACGAAAATATATAAGACACAATCGACATTCGTGTTTTGAGCGAAACATATATTAACGTGTATCATTCTGACATTCCAGGCGCAATCACGTTCGCGAATATGGGTATCGCTATGTTGGAACCGAGCCTGCCGATTTGGATGATGGACACGATGGGCGCGAGTCGTTGGAAACAGGGAGCGACATTCCTACCGGCCAGTATAAGCTACCTAATCGGCACGAACCTTTTCGGACCCTTGGGACATAAAATGGGCAGGTAAGCGGCAGGTGGACGTCGACTTGTTTACAGCGGGGAGTCGTCCCCGAAGTCCAGGCGACCTCGACCATTGAATCATTATAACGATGACGGGACTGTTAGAGCCAGAACGATATGTCGCCCGGATAGCTCAGTCGGTAGAGCATCAGACTTTTAATCTGAGGGTCCAGGGTTCGAGTCCCTGTTCGGGCGAAAACTTATCTTTTTGTACGTACACTCGCTCTCGTACTTGTCACAGCATATGTGCTTGTATGCTTGCAGATGGTTAGCGTCGCTGATAGGACTCGTCGTTATTGGTCTCTGCTTGATGTGCGTAAGTACATTATGTTTTTTTTGTTACGTATGCTAGAATAATCGACTTCTCGCCACTTGTACTCACGTCAAGGTGTGTGCTGAAGAAATTGCTTCACGGTCTATTAGTCGCGTTATATGGATTAATTATTTTTTATACAAACTTTTTTCTAGGAATGAGTGAAAACCTGATTTTTAGGTCCTCAAAACTTGAATCTGAAGCTGTGAAGCCCCAAAACTCTCGAAATTCTCAAAACTTGAAACTATCCAAACCTGAAATGCTAATTAAAATGAGAGAGGGTAATTGTGCATAAAACAAGCTTCTTTATAATTACACTTTTTATATTTTTTATATTTTTACACTTTATTACACTTTTCACTTTTTACATTTTTTACTTTATATTACGTTTTTTATTTAAAAAATCAACCTTTTAGCTTAAAACAGATAAATATGATTGTTTGTATCACTATTTCAGAAACTAAAAACTCAACAAAATTTTTTTCAGAAAATAAAGCTTTAAATTTTTAATATTACATACACAGGAACTAGAAACTCTACAAGATTTTTTAAAAATCAAGTTTTAAATATTAATTAGACATAATTAGATAGAATATTAATTAAATATGATTAGATAGAATATTTATTAAATATAATTAAGTAGAATATTAAATATAATTAATAAGTATATAAAAACTAAATAAAAATAATTATTTTTGAATATGAGAAAACTAAAACCAGATAAAATTTTGAATTCTTTAGAGTTTCTATCTATCATCACTATTGAACTACTTAAAAAATTTAATAAAGTTTTTTGTTTAACAACAGTTAGTGTTTAACAACACTAACATCCGAACTCTTTCAGATTCTAGTTTGCTAGTCTGATGCGCTATCCTCTTTACATGCTGTAGCGTACTGTTATATTTCGAAAATGGCATCTCTGTCTCAAGTTTCGAGAATTTTGCATCACACAAATAAACGCGAAGTCTTCGAAACTTGAAACCTTTTTGAGTTTCTTAGGGGTTTCAAAGTTTAAGGTTTTCAAGTATCCCCCATCTCTACTTTTTTCTATTCTACAATATTTCTTATGGTGTAGGAATAAATTGTCAGTGAGTCTATCTTTCTAAGAAATATAGTAAATCTTGTTCACATAGCAAAAACATAGCAAATTTTTTAATAGCAAAATTTAGATTCTAATGTATAAGTAGTATATATGAAATAAAAAAATAGTGAATTGCGGCAGCATGTCAATCTATTTGTATAATTAAGTTTTTGTACGTAATCTCAAAGCATAAAATAATAAAATTTCAAAAAGATTGCATCGGCCGGGAATCGAACCCGGGCCGCCCGCGTGGCAGGCGAGCATTCTACCACTGAACCACCGATGCGGTTGCCAATCTGTGTTCTTGAAAAAATCGATAGTAATTTTTACTATAAAATTGTCTCCGCGTAACACTGATTGACCATGAAGCAATATATATTTCAGTTAATTTTTCATCTGTATTGATTTCTCGTATATTCGTAAATGTAACATTATTTTACGTCCCGTGGTTAAATGTCTCATTGAATTATACAAATACAGAACTGTATTAACTGTAACTGAATTATAGGTACGTTGAGTTTATGCTCAAATAAAGTTATGCTCTAACGAAGTACGTCAATTTTGGCTCCGTCAATTTTAGCTTTGTAGCAAACAACGGTTAATGAGAAATAGTTTCCACCCAGTATAAACACCAACTAACAGTAACATTACATCACTGTTATTATTTCTCTCAACAATGTAATTATTATGTATACACTATATATTATATTATACTTACATTGCTGAATGTCTTTTTTAATTTTGAGAAAGATTTTGGCAAATTATAACACTGATATAATGTTCTTGTCAGTTGATGTTTACTGGGTTATTCTACTTCATGTAAAAATTAACTTATTTCGCAGATTCCATTGGCAAAAAGTATCGACCATTTGATTATACCAAATGCGGGTCTGGGATTTGCTATTGGTATGGTGGACAGTTCAATGATGCCCGAGCTGGGTTATCTAGTGGACATACGACACACCGCTGTTTACGGAAGCGTTTATGCTATCGGCGACGTGGCATTTTGTTTGGGCTTTGCTATAGGTACGTGACAATAAGATGGCACTCATCAATAATATGTAAGAAAGAAAGAAGAATTTCTTTTATACATATGCCGAATATTACGTAATAGTGACGAAGAACCCTTATAGAAATATCATACTAAGAATCATTGATAATTACTTATTTTCAGTATTAAAAATACTGGATAATAAGTAATTATCAATGATTCTTAGTATAATATTTCTATAAGGGAAAGGGCATTAATTCGTCGCGATTCTCGAATTCAAGTTTTACGAAAGCATAACCTCGTTTAAAAAAATTATGCTCAATATTTTCAAATATTTTTGTTGATACAAAGTTATTAATTTTTTCCAATTGTATTATCAGTAACAAATTGTTCTGTGCAATGTTCGATATTTAAGTTGAATAATTCAACATAATATAATAAGATATTCGATATAATAAGGGTACTGTGTGAGGGATGTACTGTACGTTAGATCACGAGAACATGCACTAGCGTTTGAAGATTAAAACAAGAAGAAAACTTTTAAAAAATTAAAAAAGAAAAAAGAGAGAGGGTACAAAAGTACAGTTGCATCGGCCGGGAATCGAACCCGGGCCGCCCGCGTGGCAGGCGAGCATTCTACCACTGAACCACCGATGCTTCTTGAAATCCTTCAGATTATTTTCATAGTAACTCGTAACTGTGTCATATATATTATATATAAAAAGAGATAAAAATGATTTAACCTGACAATAACATTTTTATTTAATAAATTTTAAAAAGCTGATAAAATGGTAATTCAGAAAAAATTACAGAAATAAAAAATTTTAATATAAACCTCAAAAGAAGCATTTAGCCCTTAAGATGAGTAAGACACTTTATTTCATTCATATTTTTCATAAAATATTTTGATACTATTGATATATTGATATATATAGCATAGTAATTAAGAAACTAGGTACACAGTAACTAGAAAAAAACTTAAAAAGATTTTTAAAGTCTCAATCTATATTGTTTATTCCTCGAAAACAGACTCAATCTAAACTTTTCATATCATTCTACAAACTTACAGCATTTTCATTTATTACTTTGTTGTTTCAACGACTAAACTATGATATATAATTTAAAATTGTTAGTATTTTAAGGAATGGAAACTTTAATACTTTCGGAGAGAGAGAGAGAGAGAGAGAGAGAGAGAGAGAGAGAGAGAGAGGGGGAAAGAGAGAAAGTTGTTTCCTTTCTTTAATCTGAGAAACATATCAGAGATTATTAGATGTACTTTATATGTACATTTGATGAGAATACAAGAAGAATGTTATCTAGTATATTAGTGCGGAAATCACGAATATTTGTGCATGTCAAAAACAACGAATTTTACCAAAATTACCAATATATTAGTATCTTATCGTAATTTTATCGTAAGTAATTGTCACTTTGAATCTGACGGTAATTTTACATCTCTACATATAAATATCATCTATATGATTCAGAACAAAAAGGAGCAAATCTATATATATTCTTGCCATATATTTTTACAATATCCTAATTTAAAGTTTCCGTATGTAAAATTTCAATAATTCAATATCTGTTTAAAATACATTGTGTAAAATATATATTTCTGTGATTGAATATTGCCCCAATAATTGAAATATTAAAATAATTTGTTTAATACTTCTAAAAATCTTTCAAAATTTTGTTAAAAAATATTTCTTCGTTCCAATTTGTAATATTATTTTTAATGATCATTTAATCATTAAATCTGTATTATTTAATAATTTAGATGATTTAGTTTTTCAGTTCAACTACTGATACAACATTATCTAATATATCTCATTATGTTTATAATTAATATTTATTGACTATTTTATTTCCTATTATTTCTCGATCGTTGACAAACCAAAGTTTTATGTAGATGTCAGTTTTATTAGTGATTCTATTAATTATTTATTAATAAAAATGTAAAACACTAATCGTGCTTTTTTATTAGTTTAGTCATTGGAACATTTATCTTACATGTTGCATTACAGAATTCAACAAAATATCTTTCGTGTCGTAGGTCCCGCATTGAGCGGAACTTTGGTCAACACTATTGGTTTCGAATGGATGCTTTTCGGAATAGCTATATTAAATTTCATTTATGCGCCTCTCATGTACTTCTTGAAAGCGCCACCGACCAAAGAAGAGAAAAAGGTAAAGTTTTTTTTGTACACGGAAAAAATATATTTTCGTATGTAACACTTTTTATATTGGATTCAAAAAAATTTAGCCATTGAAATAATCTCAACTAATTTTTGTAGTAACAAATACGACCGATTAATTAATCATTTCGTGGCTTAATGTGAAAAGATTAAAAATTTCATATAAAATTATATTATTTCAATTAAACAAATCCAAAAAAAATACTGATGCCAAAGAAACCTCTTTCACTGTGCGCACAATATTGCAAATTTCTTAAAATTTATATTCCCGAGAATTCATGACTAATTCTGAAATATATCGAATTGCAGTCATTGATAATCGGCGAAAAATCGTCTGTGCGATACGTCACGTACCAGAACGAGGAAGAGGACCAATAAACAGCGATTCTAAACGTTTCTGATACACTTCTGTTTGATTTAGAGCGAATTTATTATTCGTTCCTTCTTTCTTTTGTTAAAAAAGGAAGTACGAATAATAAATTGTAATTGAACGAATAATAAATGTTAATCTCTATATATATTTTTTTAATTTTTCCACAACAATATGTTAAAGAAATCTCTGAAAAAGAAGGAATCTCTCAATATTCTCACTTTCTGATTCGAATTTCAATTTTAGTTTATTTTATTAAAATTATTTAATCTTATTAGAATTACACAATAACTTATTTCTCTTTCATTTAATATTATCGACATGTGAATATCTATACTTTAAGTTCCATAAATGATAAGGAGTTACAAACATCGACAATAAGCGCAACCGTTGACATGCACCTGATAACATTTGGAAAAATTACACGTAAATGTAAAATTATTTGTAACCGAGTAACGTTTTCACGAATAGTTTGTCGCCACCACCGGCGAGAGAAATGCGGACGATCTCATACAAAAATAGACTCGAAGAAGTCGCACAACACCACGCTTGGTATTTATAAAAATGATATATTCTATATAAGCACACAGTTCTGCACACGTTCGGAGGCAGCCTCGAGAGATCTCATACATTCTCGAGTTCGTATAAGTTCACAAGATAAGTCCTGGATATATTATAGAGTGTATGTCTGTGTACTGTATGTAATAGACAAATAGATCAAAAGAGCGACCTAGGAAGTCGCGGGACAGAAGAAAAAAAAAGAATCTTATTATATCGTAGTGTGCGATGGATAGATATATATATCCACATTAAATCGTGTCTCGATGACACGTAATAATAAGAAGAGAACAAATACGACGTGAAAGTTGCTATTAAGCGCAAAAGCTTTTAGGTTTCCATAACTCTAACGCGTCCTGGACACAAAGGGCGAAATTGACCGGGGAATACGAGAAGTCGGCGGTTCGCCCTTTGTATGCGAAACGCCTCTAAAGCCCTCACAGGATACGGCGGAGGGACTCAACGTATGAGAGAAAATAAGAAAAACACAAACAAAAAAAAAAGAAATAAATCCAAAAAAACGGACGCAAAAGACCGAAGTCATAACTCTGCGCCCGAAGAAATTACAGCATCGAAGGATTACACGTAATATTAAGTATATTAGAGATAAGATTGTTTCACAAATAAGGATTATATCGACGTGTGAGCGGGAGGAGAGAACAAATCGCGACGGAATCGCGCGTTCGGTAAATTGCATGAAAACGCCCGGCTGGTTCCTCAAGGTGACGAAGAAACATTGCGATAAATTCAGTCTCTTGCTTCCTGAAGAACCGCCTGATTTGGTTTCCCTGAATGGCTGCAGGGAAACCGGCGAAAAACGCGACGGTCGGGTGTCATGAAGAGTTCTTCGTAGCTTTACATATGGAAATCGAATGCACTCTCCTTTCACGTCGCGAAAACGGCGACGTTTCTCTCACGCGAGGCACCCCGGCGCGTGCGACTTACCGAGAACTCGCAAGAAAAAAAAAGAGAGAGAGAGAGAGAAAGAGAGCAAGCCGTGAAAAAGCGGTTCGAGCTTACGCAAGCGGGCGCAAATTCCGGCGTTTCTCCAAAAGAGATTCTTCAACGTTAATCTTTGTTTCTCCCCGATCGCGTTCCTCACACATCCCGGAAGAATTCGCGGAGAACGCCGTGAGATTTGTCGCGACAGAGAATAATATTTAAGCTTATTAAAGAAAAATAGAAAGAAAAAGAATACAGAAAATAGGAAGAAAAAAAAATGAATGGACGGAGTACACGAAGCGTTCGCGGGATTTGCGAATTATATGATAAACTCTATGAGGATTCGCCGCGGGAAACTCTAGCTGTGATGATTTATTTGTTGCCAAGACAGAGAGAAAGAGAGAGAGAGAGAGAAAGAGAGAGAGAGACCGGACCCCGCGAAAATAGAACGTTCGTAGAAGCAATATAGAAAATAGCGTAGCTTAACGTTACTCCCGAGCGTATACTTATATACGCGTTCTATCTACGTGTCATTCTATCTATGTGATGTATCTTCGTGTAGATGCGATTGCTCGGAAAAAAAAGAAAAAAAAAAAAAGAAATTGTCGTGTATTTATTACATATCGGCGCATCTCGTTGTTGTGTGTACGACCGAGTTATACCTTGTACGTAGAAGCGAGCCGAGTAAACACCTGTTGAGATCCTAAGCTACCAGGCCACTTTCACCGGAGACACTTGCCAAGGCGATGATCCAATTGTAGTGATTGCACGTAAAAGACGTGCGCGATTAGAGCATGTAGCGCGTTCGCTTACGCAGTGTTAAAGAGCAGATTATAAGCAGCGTTACATCATAATATCTCTAGAAAGATATATATATATATACAAACATATAAAATATATATATATATATATATATATATATATATATATATATATATATACATATATATAGTTATGATCAGAAGTTGCACGCGGACAATTTGGAGTTATATGTTGGTGTCCGAATCTTCTTCGTGTGTAGTTATGATACAAAACGAAGTAAAGAAAGGGGTCTGTGAGAGGACGAGCGCGGAAAACAGTGAAAGTAGCGATTCGCACGGTACAACTGTTGTGACATTCTGGCATTAGACTACAGCTTTCCACTGCGGATTCCGAACACACAAGGTCGTAAAAGCCTTTTTACGCACCTACTCCCGGTACGAAGCGCGAGTCAATTCGATTCGCGAATCCCTCGCCAACGCTCGTCCCGTCAATATACATATATAAATATTTAGGAACGTCGTGAAAAGATATATCGAGAGGAAGAAGCGAGGGAGAGAACACGACAACGAAAGAGAGGCGAAGAAAAGAAAAGAGAAAGAAAGGAAGGAAGGCAAAAGTGAGGTGAAAAGCGAACGAGCCGAAATTGTGACGATTTCTCGAGCCGTGCGAATTAGCGTTTTGGTTTTTCTTCCGAAGTAGCAGAGTTCTATTTTTTTTTTCCATTATTGCGTTCTACTTACGTCTCCTTCTGTCGTACACGTTACGGCGCCGTTGCTTATCATTTTCACGCGTAACATCGTTATTACCACTATTCTTATTTCGTAAGAATAATAATGGCAATGAGTAATAGCATTCTCTGTATTGTCGTGAGACTCAATGTTGTTACTTGAGCTGTTGTACTATATCGCATATCTATATTGCACAATATATCTGAGCAGTCTCGTTCCCTTATACGTAAGTGTAGTAAAACTAATGAATTGAACGTTGTCGCCGCTGAGATACCTTGAAGGATGTTGTTCCACCGACATTTCCTGTAACCTCGGTGGATCTTCTCTCATTTCAGATTTATTCTCCTGCGCAATATCTACGCGTGCGTATGTGTGCATACGCATATGGTATGTGCGTGTGTGCGTGCGTGTGTGTGTGTGTGTATGTATGTGTGTGTATGTAAACACTCGCGTTATATTTGGTTGACTTAAGTGGGAAAGAATTATTTGTCCACGTACGTTATATCAGATTTATCATCGCGAATATTATATGCTATGAAGTAACTGACGTTAAAGATCACTTGAAAGTTCAGCATCAAGTTTCACTGGAAAGCCGCGCAGAATCTATCGTTCAGTTTTTCTCCGCAATTTGCGCATGAGAGGGACAAATTGTTGTATCTGTGTCGCATGTTTACGCCGTCGATCTCTCACGTTGAAATTTAATGAGCAACACGCGCTTAAGCGACGTGAGTTAGTGATTCAACGAGTCAGTGAGTTAGTTAACACGACGATGACATATCTGCTGAATACGAGGGTAACATATAATATGACCAGCGGTTGGCCCCCTTATGTGTGTTGCGCGATAAATTATAATTATAAATGATATGTTAAAAAATCAACGACTTAGAAATAATATTCCTTTCCTCTTTTAATCGCGAATAAATCTCAGTTTCGAGACAGATTGGTTTTGATACATTTTTGTGTTAAATAGAATTAATCAGAATCATAAAAGACAATATATATTGTCAGAGATTAATAAAATGAGGATCAATTGAACATTATTCATACAGCACAAATGTCCATTTTAGAAACGTCTCACAGATATCAAACATCTCTAGGACATTTCTGGGATGTATTTTGGACATTTGTGTTGTATCGTCTCAACCAAGTATGAATAGAATCAATTGAAATCATAAGGGACAATCTATATTGTCAAGAGTATTAAATCATGTAACACGAAAATATCGTAATATTTTGTTCTCAATGAGCTTCAGAACGCATTCGATATCTAATAGGAAAAATTATCTTTGAAGGAAATTATTTAAAAAAGAAGAAGAAAAGATTCTTCTATTGAATACAGATGCGTTGCAAAACTGAAAAGCGGCGGCAACCTTTCTGCCGCCAATTATATATACATTTTTCTACAAAATTTTAGTTTTGATGAAATAACTATAGATGGAGAAAATATTGTAGTAAAAATTGCAGCAAAAATTGTTGATTTATCTTTATCATCAAATTGATTTATCTTTATCAAAAAATTGTTGATTTATCTTTAATCATATAAAAATTATGACCAAAATTAATATACGTTTGTTTGAAAATGTTATGCACCTCTGACTTTTTGCTACAAAATTATGGTAATTGCCGAAAAATAAAAATTAAGAGCAGAATGCCTTCTGCAAATAATTGCAATTACTTGAACATAGCAATTACTCATTCTACAAATAATTATAATTATTTGAATGTTTTCTTATGTAAAAATTAATATACAATTGTTTGAAAACTTTTGTTACAAAATTATGGTAATTGCCGAAAAATTGCCATTAAAAGCAGAATGCCTTCTGCAAATAATTGCAATTACTTGAAAGTTTTTTTATATTGTATGTTCATAGATCGAATTCACTATTGTTATAGTACACGGAAAAAAAAGATTTGCTAATATATGGACAACTAAAAATATTAGCTGCAGGAGCAAATTTTCTTGCTTTCATAACAAAGTTATTTAGTTGTGATAGCTAAAAGATTTGCTAATGTATATATTAGCAAATCTTTTAGCTATCACAACTGAATAACTTTGTTATGAAAGCAAAAAAATTTGCTTCTGCAGCTAATATTTTTAGTTGTCCATATATTAGCAAATCTTTTTTTTCCGTGTAATTTATACTACAACGTATAATCAGTATTGCAAAAGTTCAGCTTTACAAAAAACATCTCGAGAATTAAATATATTTTTAACATAATTTCTACTACAATATTTTCCCCGTAAGAAATCTTGTAGGTATTATATTGCTAATAGAAATAATAATTTCGTACATGAAACACGCTGTTTAAACTAACAATTTCGAGAGGATTAAACACACAAGCGTTACAGCATTCAGATTTCTAATTCCAACGCGAGAGATCGGCTCGCAATAACGAATTGCCAATAGCACCCGCGAGTCCCCCGGCTTTCGAGAGAAACGGCGAAACGACTCGAGCACATCGATAGTCTCGTTTCTGTTTAGAATACGAGAATATGTACGACATACCGCGATGGTTATTTGTATAAGTCTCTCATGTAACTCTACTCAGCCCGTATCGACTACTCGGCCGGCGGCCGAGCAGGCTTAATTGTACGAATTGCAGATGCAATCAACGTGACTGTGCTAATCGAATCGTAAGGAGAGAATCCGCAAAAAACGTGCCGCGCGCTACGCTACGCTGCGCGCCTCGTCGATCCACGCGGCCGCGTGTGTATGTGTGTGTGTGCTTCCGGCAAAGTAACGCAAAATAACGTATACGATACAGATCGCGCCGTAACTGTCGCGTACGACTGTTCATACCTGACAAACGAGTCGTGATATCGGGATCTGGCTGTTGCTTGGACGCCGTAAACGGCACGGTAGGATCCGCAGTTGATTCTCCTAAGAGGAAGGAAGTCCTGTAAAAAGATAGGTGAATTAAAGAAATGTGATAATTGCAAGTTCCTAATCATTCTTAAGTGTGCGAGTCACGGTAGAAAAATTCTTTCGTACTTTCTTCCGTTTTTATTCTCTAATTGCTACAATTAAGATATTCTTTCACGTTGATCGGGACGAGTCCAATGAATAGCTTCTTGTTCCATAGTATAAATTAGCTATATCAGTATACGTTATAGACAATATTGGATTTGATTGTTAGTGAAACATGTTAGTGAAATGATGAGTCAGTACGTTGGAAGCAAAAAGAGATAGAAATGAAATAATATCACATTATTCCTGAATTTTAAGAATAGAAGGTATTAATTAGCTTCGTAGGTGAATTTCCAACAATTTTTTTAATTTGCCTGTTTTTTTGCGAGAAAAGTAGTGAACAGCCATGTAGAAAGTAAAATCGCGTACAAACACACGTGCGTAAAATTGAACTGCAAGTATCGTCGTGCGTTATTCGGTTGCCATCGTTTGCAACGATGCTTCCGCATTGGATGTGTTATATAAAAGAAAAAGAGAAAGGGGAGAGAGAGAAAGAGAGGAAAGGTTAACGCAAATTAGCGAACTATTCGTCGGCCGCTGCTATTGTGAACAGACAATAAGCAATGAAGAAAAGTGCAAAACCTTCCCTGCATTCGACATATTCAAAGGATCGATCGATCGATCGATTGTTGTCTCATTGGAAATCCGTCTGCCAGAAATGACATTGGCAAACAATGATCCGTGATTGAAATCGACAAAGTGTAAGGAGAAACTAGACGTTCGATCGGTTACCCAAAAGAAAAAAAAAAAACACAGAGGTATTTCTTCGTAGGAAGGTATTGGACGACGCTTGTCTATGTATTTATCGTTATATTATAGTTTTGGCAGCAGCCTTTCGCGCTCGTTGTAAAATCGCAGTTTGTAAGTCTGTGTGCTCAGTTGCAAAACGGTTTGCACGCATTTTTCCCAATGCAGTTGCAGCGTTTTAAATTGGCACATCACCGGCGCGTTTGCGCAATAATCAATTGTGATCAGGAAGCGAAGTGACAATATATCCTAGGTAGTCAAACTTGCACGGAAAAAAAAGGTTTGGTTGAATCAACCAAATATCTGGTCGAATATGAACGATCCAGTAATTCCGATTGAAGTAATCCGAATTCTGTTTAAGTTAACAAGATTTTTGGTTGACTAACCAAATATGTTTGATTATTTAGCAAACTTTAATCGGAATTTCTGAATCGTTCATATTCGACCAGATATTTGGTTAACTCGACCAAACCTTTTTTCCGTATGCAGAAGCAGATATTGCGCAGTGTTAAATCTTGTAGGTAGCTTGCTAGTAAAAACACAACAAAATCTGCTGCTAGTAGAGTGTGACGACAAATTGATGGCAGAAACCGAGCAAGAGATGTCGTTCCATAACCATTTAAATGTTTTTGAATGAAACATACTGCTATTTCTGTCACCAATCTGTTGTCAAGTTATGCTAGCAGGCTATCTATCGTCAGGACACGAGCAGACACAAATGACTATGGATTTACCACGGCCTGATCGAATCTATCTACCGGTCCAGCTAACATGACGACGTCAAATGACGTGTTAATGACACATTAATGGTGTCTCTAACGTCAATAAAATGTCATTAACACATCGTTTGATGTCATCCTGCTACTTGCGAATATACTGTTAACACTTTGCTTATTGAGCACCTGACATCACAACTGCAACAGAAAATTCCAAAATAAGCAAAAAATATCTTTATTACATTCTCATCTATCAGCTAAGAATATAACAAAGAATCAATATTTACATGGTGTACTGCCAGATAGTACAAAGAATTAAAAAAGAATTCATTAGACATTTCATTTTTGTGTCACCAATTTTGAATTCTTTTTCAGGTACAAAAAGAATTCTTTTCATAAAAAATTTTTTTACATCTGGAAAAGGACTTATAATTGGTGACATAAAAATGAAATGTCTAATGAATTCTTTTTAAATTCTGACATAAATATGAATTCTTTTGGGATTCTCTTTGCTATTTGGACTGTCACTTCAACTTATACCAAAATCGATTAGCACGCAAACACGTCGGCAGTGCGCCTCGATCGTGTGACAACCTGAACGCTGAAACTTCATCGCAGAACAAATGCGTGCAAACCACTTTGCAACCGAGCACACCTATTTAACGTTGTCGTGTCGTTATATCGTAGATATCTTAACAAGCTGGTGTATGGGTCCGACTTTCATGCCTGTGTAGTAATCGAGAAAAAAAAAGAAGAGGAGGAGGAAAGGAGAGATTTAACGACCGAAGTTATCTTCGTGCGTAATTCTTGCTTTTAGATGTTATCATACGTACTTGTGCGGTTGAAACCAAATAACAAGCATAGAGCCTTCTCCACGAGCAAAGGTTTTGTTCTTAGAGGAGGCTAAGGGGGGAGGGGGGCCGCACTAGTTTCTATATATAAATGTATTTTCTTTTTGTGCGCGTTTTCGGATGCGCTACGCCGGCACCGAGAATCGCCAGTCGAATTTCGCTTCGAGATTGTACTCGAATTGTTGAAGCTTGCACGAGATATGTAACACGATTGCAACCAAACGACTTTTATCTATAGGCGTTAAGAAGATCACAGAATAAATATGGTCGCGAGATAATATATCATTGGTGGATCGTATGAATTAACAATATAGATAAGGAGTATTCACGTCACCAGACGTGACAAATTCGTTGTTAACTATTTAATGTTTATTCTGATGTCTATGTGTATAACGTATCTATGTGTACATAAGAAGATATGTTGTGTCGAATAAATAAGCTGAATGATCTCTAACACGCCTGAATATACTATCGCCATCCTCCCAACGCAATTTAGTATACTGATAATCATTTCGCTCATTTGAGTTCTTTCATAAATATCAAGCAATTCAAGCACAGGACTCGAAACCATTGTTCCAATAAGCAAAATGTTAGTAGTGTGCTGGCCGATTGGCAAAAAATTCGATTAAAATCCGACAATAAAATCATAAATCCATCTGTATAACATTAAAATATGATTATAGCATAAAAGTAGCATTATAGTAAAAAAGGATATATAAATTTTTAAATACACGTATATATGTATATATATTTCGAATATTATCATAAATTATAAACTTTCCACCACAGCAGTTTGAAGACAAAATTGTGAATAATTCTGAAATTTATGTATAATGTCTGTATACTAGCCTTTTAATATTATAGTAATTTTTCATTAAAATTCTAAATTTAATTAGTAATTAAAATTAAAAATATGATGTTATCCTTGACCTGATTTAGGGAACACATGTTAAAAATGTCTCAGCTTTCGAATGATCAATCTACTTATAATTGCGCGCTAATAATTAAATAATATTTAAATCTATATGTAATGTAAGTTTTAACGATAAATAAATTTCAGAATTATTTACCATTTTGTCTTCAAACTACTGTGATGGAAAGTTTATAATTTATGATAATATTCAAAATATATATACATATATACGTGTATTTAAATATTTATATATCTTTTTTACTATCTGTACATTATGTCTTTATCAAATAAACTGATGCATAAATAAAGTTTCAACGATAAATAAATTTCGGAATTATTCATCATTTTGTCTTCAAACTGCTGTGATAGAAAGTTTATAATTTATGATAATATTCGAAATATATATACATATATACATGTATTTAAATATTTATATATCTTTTTTTACTATCTGTATATTATGTCTTTATCAAATAAACTGATGCATAAATAAAGCACTTAGAGAAATAAAAAAATAGCTTCTTTCTTATTTATAATATTGTGTATATATATATTTATTTATTTATTTACCTTAATTTCGTTTTAAACTAATAATTATACTTAGTTGAATGAAATAAATGTATAGAAACGTAATTTTGATAAATAGTAGATGGTTCCCTAACAGCACAGATGTCCAGGGGACATCCAGAGTACATCCTAAGGAAGTCCTGAGGACATTTCTTCGTCTTCAGGACGTCCTAAGGACGTCCTAAAGAGATCTTGTGCTGTCTGGGTTGATAAATAGTAGATTTATAAATGACTTCTTTTGATGCGCTACTGAAAATACGACATAACTATCTAGCGATATACCCATACAGCACAAATCTTCAAAGAACGTTCTAAGGATGTTCTAAGGACATTCATACATTCTAAGAACGTCCCAGAACATTCTCTGAAGATTTTGTGCTGTCTGAGTAACTAACTTAAATTCATATTTTAGCGACAGGGCCTGCTGACATGACAGATTGACAGCAAATCTGGCTTAGCTTGCAAAGCAGTCTATCGCCAAATTGCACACAGTAGGTTTGCTCGATTTCTGCCGCCAATTTGCTGTCAAACTGTTGAATCTGCTTGGTTTCTGCCGTCAATCTATTAACATAGTATGTCAGCAATCTCTGTCAGATCTTTGGCGGTAATTTGGCAATATCCTCAGATAGAACCCAGACAGCACAATGTCCAAAATTTGGTCATAAGACGTCTTATGACTCGATTTTGGACATTTATACTGTCTGGGAATAGATTATGTCAAATTTGTAAGCTTTTTGTCATAAAAATTTTATAGTAAGCTCTGCTCAGAATCTGCCTGCGCAGGTTTGACTAGTTGCGTTAACTTCAGTGAATTCAAATTCCAATGCATTAAGTACGCGAAAATGATCCTTGTGTCATTTTTTTAATTATAGAAAAAGATTTCAATATAACTTTTTCCATATTTATAACATCGAGAGTTAAACTCAATTTGGTATTATATCGATTTCAAGTCAAGTATTCGAACAAAACTTATTAAAATTATATTGATTTTCATTCTAACCAAAATTTATTCATAACACTAGCAACTTGTTAACATTATTTTGAAAAATGAGTGTATCATGTCGCTTTTGTCATGTTGCTTCCTAACACTTCACCTATACACTTCATCTATTGTTATTTCTTAAATGTAATAGATAAGATTAGAATATTTCTTTCTTACTTTAGTACTGCTTCAAGTACCATTAATAGGATTTCAGGATTTCAACGGTAACGACTAGTAATTCAAAATATTGAAAGAAATTCTCCCGACAGAAACAGTAGTGACTTCTAGCGGAGAGACTTTCATACTAACAGTGAATTTGCCTACCTGGTACCATGATGTGACTTCACGAGTCACTTCCATTATTATCGATAATTCAAGTCGTAGTATGAGTTAACAAAAAATCAGACAAATTAATCATTTTTCAAATACTACTACTCAAATGACGTTTTAAATAAAATCTTTTACTTTTTAATAGCATAATTGAACGATAATCCATTAATAATATTTGCAATAATAACATTAACAATTAATTTCATAATATTGAGTTCAAAATTTATCGTCGCAGAAATTGATCAAATTTGGAAGTATTAAAAGAATAACCGACATTTAAGTAAAAAAAAAGAAAAAAGAATTAGACATCGATTTGTTCACCCTTATAGAAATTTAATACTGATAAGTGATAATTTGGCCAGTGATAATTACTGTCGTTCAATAATTTTATTACTCGTACGAGAAATAAAATTACTATTTATTACTGGCCAATTTATTACAGCCAGTGATACTTTTCTATAAGGACATCGAATTCCCATATCGTAATAACGATTGACGATTGCGTTTGCATCTACGGTTGTCTCTTGGCCAATCAAAAAGGAGTTGTTGGATTGATCAAGAAACTATTGTAAACTCAAATAAACTATTGTGAACTCAAATGAACTCAAATGTAAACGCAAATCTAATCGCCAATCGCTAGTGTGATACGCGGTCTGTTCTTTTCAGCTGCACTGTTGCACAGATATATTTTATTCTACTGTAACTTATTGCACCAGTGCAGCAGTGCAGCTGAAAGGAACAAACCACTGGGCAGAAAATCGTCGCCAATCGTCGCGTCTCCACTTCGACGTATGACGACTTTGACGCTGCTTGTAGAGATTATTCTTTTTTTGGGTGTTATGTACCATTATCAATAGTGGATAACACACAGCAGCGATAAAGACTCGCTCTGTAACACAACGGGGATAAATAATGCAGACTATTACCTTAGAAACTAGTCGAGATCTTAGAACATAACCTTGCGCTTTCCAATGACAGAACGCTTAGCAATAGAATTATCGTAAAGTCGAGTAACGTGAACTGACTGCAATTATAGACATGATTAAGGCAATTTTGGTCTTCAATAACCATGGAAAACCTCGTCTGTCGAAGTTTTACCAATATTTTGTGAGTATACGATGTGGCTATTTGTAGATCTTTTCTATTTTATGTTTATAAAGTGTAAAATTATTTTTCTGGGTGTCTTCAAAATAATAAAATTTATATTGATTTTATAATGTATTGCCACAAGTCTACAATTTTATACAAAGATACCCAAGAGTGAATTGCGATTCTGTAGAAATATAGCAAGTATCGGTTTACCTGATAAATATATTTTCTGCTTCAGAACGAGGATATGCAGCAGCAGATAATAAAAGAAACATTCCAACTTGTCTCAAAAAGAGACGACAATGTATGCAATTTCCTGGAAGGTGGCAGTTTGATTGGTGGATCTGACTACAAACTGATCTACCGACACTATGCCACACTTTACTTTGTGTTCTGTGTTGATAGTTCAGAATCAGAATTAGGAATCTTAGATTTGATACAAGTCTTTGTTGAGACTTTGGACAAATGTTTTGAGAATGTGTGCGAGCTCGATCTCATTTTCCATGTGGACAAAGTTCATTATATACTCAACGAATTGGTAATGGGTGGTATGGTTCTTGAAACCAACATGACTGAAATCCTCACAAGGATTGAAGATCAAAATAAATTAGAAAAGCAAGAGGTAAGTACACTGTTGCACTGTTGCAGTTTTCAAACTATCTTGATTGTGATCTACTCATTTGTCTTCAATTGCTCTTATATCTCTACCTTACTTACATTATTAAATATTTCATATTACAATTATATCATTAAATATTTCATATTACAAATATATCATGATAATAATAATTGATCACAGTCAAGATTGTCGATCTATGTCTATAGTGAACAAATTTTTGTAAGTTTTTATGCTTAAATTCATATCCCACTTCATCGAATAGAACGCTAGCGGTGCGCGTTTCAACCTAGTACAACAAACTTTGCATATATGTATATACTTCCTCACTAGGCTTGAAAATATTAACTGCTCAATACTAGAGTGCCCGATGGAGTCATTTTAACTCTTTTAAGATCTTATAATCGCCATTTCCGTTTCTCGCAATTTAGAAAAGAAATCTCATGATTTTTTAATTATTTTTAAAGTAGAACACTGAAAGAACAAGAGATCGATGATATTGTTATTAATTATTCTACCTTAAATGCTTCAGAGAGTTGTTTTGACTATTTGTCAATATTATAAAGACAATATACAAATTATTTGAAATTTTTGTTTTTAATCCTGATTAATTTTGATGAAATTTATATTTTATTTTGTGTCTATTTATCAATCTTTTTTGTATACGGAAAAAATATCGTAGCAGAATTTACAATTCTCATAATCTTAGACAATATAAAATTATAACCGAAATTATTATATATTTGTTCAAAGAAGTTATGCACATTTGACTTTTTACCACAAAATTATTGTAATTTGAATGTTTTCTTATATTGTATATCAGATAGATCGCCAGATTTATTGTTTTTATAGTCATTCATACTTTTGGTATGGTATAGAAATTAAAAGTTTGGAAAAGTTGTGAGAATTGGTGAATTCGTTTACAATATAAAATGTCTATATTTTGCAAATTATGTTCTTAGTATTATGTCAGAAGCCATTATTGAGATGAGTAATGAGAGAAATAGAGAGTTTTTATATACTAATCGCAAAGAGTGAAAACGACTATTTCGGGCATCCAAAGGAGGTCCCGGGCATTTTAATGTTAAGGCAGTCCGTTAAACGCTAGCTGTGCATGCAATCGGAACGTTCTGTAGAGCGAATTTGATGTAGTGTTAGATAGGACTGATCGACGTAACATCAATTTTAGGGGACTTACAAATCCGGACGATCTTGCTCACCCCGTCCGTTTGTCCTCCTGGGGCCCCTTCCCTAAGTAAATCGGCAGTAGCAAATTGGGCCACTTTGTACAATTTTATTTTTGCAATATAATGTACCTGATGATTCGCTCTTTTTTTTTTACCTTCTTTTTTACTTTACCATAACTCGAAGGTATATGAAGATCCTTGGTAGTTTCGCAAAGCAGAATGAGAGCGTTCGTAACACGCATGGCGACGCAATTAATGTTTGTAAATGTCCGCTCCATTAATGAGTGCCTTGACAATGTATACGTATCGCAATGCTCTATAAGAATAATAAATATCGTCATATTGTGTAGCTATCCATCATTTGCCTTCGCTCCCGAGCTAATCAGACTAGCATTCACTGAATCCTCCTATATTTGCCCGTTTTCCGCTTCTCTTCCATCCGTATGTGGTGTGTGCAGGCGGGAATCACGGCAGCGCCAGCGCGTGCTGTCTCAGCCGTGAAGAATATGAATATACCACAACAAATAAAGGATATGAAGCTGCCTGACTTGCCGCAAGCTATAAAAGACCTCAAATTCTGACCAGCCGTTACTTCGTTGGCTCCCAGCTGACTGGTCTCTTCTGTCATCCCAACCGACACCACCACCACCACCACCACCACTACCACCAACACCACCATCGCGCCGAGGACATTTTTCCCTTCCCTTCAAGCAAGCGAGAATGCACCAATGCTGCCCGCTACCTCCGCGTATATCCCGTCGCAACGATACCAGAGTTAAAGATGATGGAAAGAGCCGCTAACACCATCTTTCTTGGACTATGGTTTATATTGATAGAAAAATAAATGGAGAGAGAGAAAGAGAGGAAAAGAGAAAAAATACCTATATATGTACATTTATATATATATATATATATATATATATATATAAGTTGAGTCCTGAGAAAATTTATATGTACAAAAGAGAAAAAGAGAAATCAGGCAATTGTGAAGATAGTCATTGCAATTTTATACGTAAAAGAATGCTAGAGAAAGTATATATAAAAAAAAGACATCAGATCTCCACGAATTCAACTAAGATATTATCAGTTTTCCACTGTTTGAAATAGTCTAGCGCATTTTGCACGAGAAACTCTCATCAGAAATACAAAGCACCAATATGTTAAATTGTAACAAAAATATATTTAATGCAAAAGCTAGCAGTGTGTATTATTCTCCGTTTCTTAAAATTATATTTCTACTATACACAATAATATATTATGCAAAAATTAAATTTATATTATTATATAGCTTAAATTTTACCTGGAATCTAGTTTCTAGCTCAACTTATTGATTATATTAAGAATACAGAATTCAATATGCTACAAAATACACAATAATATAAAATCAAATATATATAAAATCTATACAAAGTATCTTTGTCATATCAGTACTTTCATGAAATTTTACAATTCTGTTGTCAAGAACATTATCAATTACAATGAAATATTTAACTAAAAATGCTGATTTTACAAACAGCAATTTTGTAATAAATTAATGAAGGCATAATTAATGAAATTAATGATTATGTTCTAATACGATTATGATTACTTTTTAGATATGGCCATTTCATTTCTAAGAGTTGTCCATATGTAGCCCACTCCTTTTTCTGTAAGAGGTGGTGGATAAGGCGTGTTTTTCAACTTATAATAATCTGATGGAGCATGCATTACAAATTCCATACACTCTAACTTTCGCGGTAAGTCCTCTTCTGGGCCAATTATATATGTTTCAGGAGTGAATCCTTCTTCTGGTGGAGGACTACAAGAAGATATCTAACTTAATAGCACTTAATATCAGTAAATGTCCACATACAGGAATCATTGTACAAAGGAGAGATATTAGGATCAAATATGATAAGATATAGAGAATTACCTTGCTGTAGTAGGTAATAACCAAGTAACAGCAGCACTTTTTTCACAATATTGATCAATCAATAAGCCACGTATTTGAGCATAATAAATGCCTCCATCTATATCTTGCATAGATACTATGTCACCAACTTGAAAATATGTACCTTTATAAAATACAAAACTGCTGGTAACTGGAGTTGCAGTAGCTGTAGGTGCTTTGACAGGCTATAAACAAGTTTAATTAAATTTGTGTAATTGGATACTTACATATTCTACATTCTATATTTTATTGTATAAAATAAATTTAATCTACCAAAATTTTTAAAAACTATATATATGTTCTTTTTTTTAACAATATCAATAACTTGTTCTTTGACGAATTAGAAAGTCCAAAAATTGTATAACATATAAGGGCTCTCCGTTTTTACATACCGTTTTCTTGAACAAATTCCTGCGACCTTTGCCTTTGGGCACCACCTTATGAGGCCCAGAAGACTTCGAATTACAGTATCTTGTTATTCTCGTGCTTCTCCTGGTAGGCTTTAATATGTTCGCACTTTTGTCCTCCTCGTCCGTTTTGGGGCACGCGTTTGCCTCGGCATTCCGCTCGTCCTCCAGACAGGCATTGCACAAATTACCGGCGTCGGTGGAATGCCACAGCGGGGTCTCGCGGGTCCCGCATTTCGTGCATTCTGGCTTGTTACCGAGTGGCATCTGACAACTCCTCTCGCTACTACTGGTCGCACTGATCCTCGATTTACAACTAGTAGAAACAAGTGGCTCCAAAAGCCACTGTCAATCACAGAATTCTAACTTCACTATTTACGCATATACATTCACGTGTATATGCAATTGCCGGTCAATTTTCGCACGTGTATCATTAGCTAATTGTAAAGGCTTTTACAGAATGCCAGGCAATAGGAACAGGGAATAGGAATTCTGATTGGTCAACTATTTCTATTCCCTGTTCTTATTGGCTATTGCCTGTTCCTATTGCCTGTTGCCTGTCATTGGTTGCTTTCCAACAAGAGACACAAGTCGACACAAGTATCATCCTATCTTTGCTACTCACTAAATGTGGAACAAAGATAGAATGATGTTTGTCGGGAGCGGTGCACTTGGACACGGTGCATTTGGACACAGCCAATCACAGCACCGTGTGATTAGAGACATTTGTAGGGTCTCTTGGAACAGCGACTTGTGATTGGACTGTGTCCAATTGCCCCGTGTCCAACTGATATACACCCATTGAAAAGATTTGTGAGTCATTCTATTACTTGTAATTAATTGTTCTTTTTTGGACCATGTATTTAGCCGCAAATAATGACCGGAGGTAAATTAAACAAAGGTTCGGTATGATATCGTTTGTATTTCGTATGAAGAGTTATGAAGTATCATTAGTTGCTTTCTAACAAGAGACACAAGTCGACACAAGTATCATCCTATCTTTGTTACTCACTAAATACAGATAGAAACAAAGATAGAATGATGTTTGTGTCGGCTTGTATCTCTTGTTGGAAAGCAACCATTAAAAAGGTTTGTGAGTCATCCAGATAATTTTAATTAAATATTAAAAAATCATATATTTGGCCTAAATATCGATCTCAAACGCTGCTGTGGAAGTACCGTCAGGCACGATCGGTGTACTATCTAGTATTTCAATATTCCTGGTTCTTTTTCAGGTAATTATGGCTGCGTTCCGAAATTCACTGCCAGTACTGAAATTCTATAGTGTACGTAACATGAACTATAGATTTTCAGTACTGACAGTGAATTTCGGAACGCAGCCTATGTATATACAATAAGGCCTTTTTCGAATTTTGATATTTTTTTGCAGCTCTTTTGATAAAAATATTTATTTTGATTCCAATATTGATAATCAATCGGGGGAGTCCGAAAAATATGCAAGTTATATATTGTTTTAACTTTTTTTTTATTTTTTTTCACTTGTCAAATGTTGCTGTTTTCCCACAATTTGAACAAGTTACTAATCTTTTAATCACATTATGTAACTGCAATATCGAACGACTAGAGGGGGGCTCTGCCCCCCGCATCCCCACTCAAAACTAACCCAACTCAACCTATCGTCACATTAGCCGTTAGTCATTGTTTACTAAAAAATTATTAAGAAAAAAAGTTGAACACTTTAATAAACAATGACTGACGGTTAATGTGACGATAGGTTGGGTTAGGTTAGTTTTGAGGGGGGCTGCGGAGGGCGGAGCCCCCCGCTAGTCATTCGATATTTGCAATTACATAATGTGATTAAAAAATCAGTAACTTGTTTAAATTGTGGGAAAGCAGCAACATTTGACAAGTGAAAAAAAAATAAAAAAAAAGTTAAAACAATATACAGGGTGAGTC